CCTGCTGGGATCTCCAGGCTCCCCCAGGAGCTGTTCTGGCCTCGCTTTTCCAGTGCCCCCGGATTTCTCCCAGATGCTCCGGCACTACACCACCGACGGGTTCCGGGTCCTGGCTCTGGCCTGCAAAGCCCTGGGCACGGTGGCCACCTTTGAGGAGGCCCTGCAGCTCCCCAGGTCAGTGCCAGCACTCCCTCTCTCCATCTCCTCACTCTCTCCCGGCATTTCCTGGGATGCCCTGCAGGGAATTCATCCCTAATCCCTGGCTGGTTCCCAGATGGGTTTTAGCTTCTCACACCCCTTGATCCTCTGTGCTGGTTTTGGAGGTGATGAAAGGCTCCTTGTCTCCCACCAGGGACTCTGTGGAGAGCGGCCTGAACTTCCTGGGGTTCCTGGTCATGAAGAACGTCCTGAAGCCGGAGTCTGCGCCGGTGATCCAGCTGCTGAGGAGCGCCAACATCCGCCCCGTCATGGTGACAGGTGACCCTGGAGGGAGCAGCACACGGGGCTCGGGGAGGGATGGCCCACAGACAGTGCTGGGCAGTGTGCTGGGGGAAAGGGCTTTCCCGCTGGGAACTCCACTCCAGGAACGCCACCCCAGGAATCCCACCAGGAATTCCACCCCAGGAGCCCCACCAGGGATCCCAACAGGAACCCTACCCCAGGAATCCACCCTAGGAACCTGCCAGGAATTCCACCAGGAACCCTACCCCAGGGATCCCAACAGGAACTCCACCAGGAATTCCACCTGAGGAATCCCACCAGGGATCCCAGCAGGAACCCTACCCCAGGAATTCCACCTGAGGAATCCCACCAGGGATCCCAGCAGGTATCTCACCAGGAATTCCACCCCAGGAACCCTACCAGGAACCCCAACATGGATCCCAACAGGAATCCCACCCCAGGAACCCTACCCCAGGAACCCCACCAGGAATTCCACCTCAGGAACCCCACCAGGGATCCCAATGGGAACCCTACCCCAGGAATCCTACCAGAAACCCCACCAGGAGTTCCACCTGAGGAGCCCCACCAGGAGCCCCACCAGGAATTCCACCCCAGGAACCTCACCAGGCCCCCCCCACCAGGGATCCCAACAGGAACCCTACCCCAGGAATCCCATGAGGAACCTCACCAGGAATTCCACCTCAGGAACCCCACCAAGGATCCCAACAGGAACCCCACCTCAGGAACCCTACCAAGGATCCCAACAGGGATCTCACCAGGAACCCCAGCATGACCCCCAGCAGGAATCTGTGCCTGGAGCAGCTCTGGGGGCACCATGAGCACTCCTGGGTCCTGGCTCTCTGCATCCCTGCCCTCAGGATGCACGATCCACTGCGGAGCTCAGGGCATGGACATGTTTTGGGTGGAAGAACTCCTTGTTCTGCTGTCCATCCCCTAAATATTGCTGTGTTTGAAATCCCAAATTCCCTGCCTTATGCAGGGAGTGTAGGTCCACCTCTGGGTGTTTTCCAGGCAGGAGAACAAAGGTTGAACCCACATTTCCTTGGGGCAGGGCAGGCAGGAGGTTTTGGAGGAAAGAAGAGGGAAGCAAAGCCACCACATGGCTGCGGTGGCCGGGAGAGGGGACACGGCAGCTTGGAGCTGCTCCTCTTGGCCTGGGCATCCCAAAACCTCCTTGCTGATGGCCCACGTGTCCCTGGCAGGGGACAACATGCTGACAGCCATGAACGTGGCGCGGGGGTGCCGCATGGTGGAGCCCAGGGAGGGCGTGATCTTCGTCACGGCCTCGCCGCCCGGCCACGACAAACCCGCTGCCCTCAAGTTCGTCCTGGCTGAGCATTCCCAAGGAGAGGAGCAGCCCGAGGTGAGAGCCCAGGACACCTTTTGGGAGCCCAAACTGCCCANTGATCCCACCCACTCTCCACAGAGGCACCAGGCCCCGCTGGGGATCCTGCGGCGTTTCCCGTTCTCCTCCTCTCTCCAGAGGATGAGCGTCCTGGTCAAGCTGCCCGGGGAGGCCTCGGCCCACGCCTACGTCAAGGGCGCCCCTGAGATGGTGGCCAGTCTGTGCAGGAAGGAAACTGGTTGGTACTGGGAGGTGGGCTCAGCCCCAGTCCCGCTGGCTGCATCCCTGGGGCTCCTCTCTCCCCAGGGAATTATCCTCAGGAACGCTGTGGGGCAGCTCGCAAAGGCTTTGGGGTGGTTCCAGCCACAGGAGGGAAAGGAAACAGGAGCCAGAAGATGGGGAATGGGGTTGGGGGCTTCCGTCAACCCATGCTGGGATCTCCAGGCTCCTTGGGGTGGGGAGAGCTTCCCCCAGCCCAGTATGGGATCTCCATATTCTATGGGGTTGAGGGCTTCCCCCAGTCCAGTATGGCATCTCCAGGTTCCATGGGGTTGAGAGCTTGCCCCAGTCCAGTATGGGATCTCCAGGTTCCATGGGGTTGGAGGCTTCCTCCGTCCCAGTATGGCATCTCCAGGTTCCATGGGGTGGAGAGAGCTTCCCCCAGCCCAGGGTGGAATTTCCAGGCTCCTTGGGTTGGGGAGAGTTTCCTCCAGCCCAGGGTGGGATTTCCAGGCTCCTTGGAGTGGGAAGAGCTTCTTCCATCCCATCATG